AACAAATGTCTCACTTAAAAAACAGAAATTTGGGCTCAATTGTGATCATAAATTGAAGACTGCCTGTAATCCTGTACCTCAGAAAAATACACATTTGAGCTGATATAAAGGCAACAACAGGTTGCAGCCATTTATCACTAATATGTGACCAATTCTTTAATCTCAGATATGTATTTCCCAAAAATCTGCATGGCTACCACTATAATCTCAAAAAAGATATGCTCCTTTAAAGAAGTCCTAGTTAAATATAACACAGTTGCATATTCCAGTAAACATAAATAGTTAATGTTTACACATAAGACACAGTTTCAAGAGAAGAGAATATACAGTATGCAACTCAGGATTGAACTGGAAAGTCCTTTATGCTGAGTTTGGCTGATTGTTTACAGATGTTTCATAAGCAAGTAGGTAACATCATCAGTGCTAATAACTATGGCCTTGGTTCCCTGTTAGTTTGCCGTGCCAGTTTTGGGTGTGTGTGTGAATTGATGATATTACCTAGTCTGATAATTAAATGCCTACAAAGAGCCAAATTCAGAGGGCATCAGTGACTCCATTCTTTGCTTGTTTTTGTAAAAAAAAAATTTTAGCTCTTAATTTCTTGCTGGCAACAACTTGGTTCTTAACTTTTTTCCACAGAATATTCTCTAAAGCAGTGGCCCCGAACCTTTTGGGCACCAAGCACTGGTTCTGTGGAGAGAGGTTTTTCTATTGACCAGAGAGGGCATTGGTTTCATGCGCTGCCTGCATTCCGCAGATAGGATTTCACTTGTTTGTGTGGCATGGTTTCTGGAATGCCACGGCCTGGTGCTGATCCACAGCCCAGGGGTTGGGGAGCTGTAAAAGATTTCATAAATAAATTTTATCAGCAAATTAAAGCTGAATTCATTGTGAAAAGTTGATTTTAGAGAAAAATGAATTAAGAAAATGAGTTGGAGCATGCATTGTGAATTCCAAAACTTAGGCAGATAATATACTGGTAGAACATAGCACATATATAAAAATATGCCAAATCTATTTTTATCAACTTATCACAGTAAAAAAATGGAAACTATGGTATTTTCCAAATGAGAAAAGAGATTCCAATTAATAATAAATTAATTAATTCATAAATTATTTGAAGTTAAGAATGAACAATAATGCAGTATTATTTAAATAAATAATACTTTTTAACTAAAATAGGCAATTAAGCTCTCCAAGAGAATACTTCCAGGACATTTCTTAACATTGGTTACTAGAAAAAAATGATTTTAATTTGCTTTTGCTTTTGTGTTCCAGTTATGCAACCTTGAAGGGTGGATTTTTGAAGAAAAATAGTACTAAGGGAATAGGCTGGAGTACTATGAGGCTGCATTATGAGTCAGGCAGCAGAAACAGCTAAAGAATACAACAGCCATATAAAACTGCTCCTATTTATTTTTTAAGTGGGCTCCTTGAAATCGTCAGTTCTAGAGTCAGTCACAAATTCTAAGGAAAAATTAATGCACATACCATTTATCTCTTTATGAATCCCATATTACAACTTCAATGTTTCCATAGTGTTATCTATTTATAGGTAATTATATATAATCAGTAAGATGAATAAAACACAGTTAAGGCATAGCATATGTAATTGTGGTCATGACCAATAAAATATTATCATGTCAAGTCTTTTTGCAAGAGATCCCTTGTTTAAGCAATCAATTAGAAAACATTCATTTTCACTATTTAGAACCATAATACAGGTAGTCCTTTTTCAGCGATCACATTTGGGACTGGCAACTCTGTTGCTAAGTGAGGCTCTTGCTAAGAGAGAGATCACATGCACTTTCATTTTTCCCATTCCCCCACTTTTTAGAATGTTTGCCCCAATGGTACTGGGACACCTGGTTGAAAACTGACAACACTAATCAATTTCACACCTTCAGTTTTTGTTTGACTTCCAACCACTCCCCACTTTTAAAATGTTTACCTTGGTGTTGGGATAATTAACAAAACAGAAACTAATGTTTGCATATACATTCATTGGACAAGTTATATTACAAGAGAGTCATCTATAGGGTTTTGGCTATAGTTCCAATCAGACTGATTCTGGGAGATATATAAAGAAAACTGATAAGCAAAATATTACAAAATTAAAAACCATACTAATCAGTAATTAAAATAATAATGGAAATAATCAGAAGATCTATTGAAACAACATGATTTTAAAAGCCTTCTTGAATGAAAGGGTGGTAAGAATCAACTGTACATCCAAGTTCCACAGAAGGGCAGATGTTTGTATGGGGGGGGGAACTAAGGTAAGTATGATCATATGTGAATGATCAGAAAGGATTAGTTAGGAAGCAGAAAAGAAGTAACAAATGAATATATTGCTTTCAATTAAACTATAGAGAACTGGACAGTTAAACAGCTATCAGCAGCTATGGAATTGAATAAACAAATAAATGCTGCACAAGACAGAGATATATTTCTATTTCATTATATAAGCATTTTAATTTGCATAAATTAGTGCTCTCTTTGCTATAGACAAGAAAATGGGCTGGAGCACTGTCAGCTTCATGGAATTCAAAAGCTGCACAATTATTCTTCAACTATCTTTTGATCAAAAAATTAAGTGCAATGTGTCAATGAAAAATTATATCTAGCCCAATAAGACAATAGCTGAAGTAGTGGAAAACGGATAAGCAGATTCCATATAGCCAAAACCATAAAAGAACAAATAATATGATTAAACTTCTATTCTCCTCTTCTCAATATACAACATTGAAAACAATCAATCTCCTCAGACACTTAGCCTTGTAATATTTAGAGTCAAAGAGGTGCTAGAAGTATCATATATACATACAAAGCTATCCAAGGACATAATACTTAAACTCTACAAAGTGAGTACTGATGAATTTCTTCCATAAGAGAAACTATGATAGAGTATCAGAAGAATCACATATAATTTCCTCAAAACTTTATGTTAAATCCTTCTCTTCACACATTACACCATTTTAGGGAAGGGAGTGAAAGAGAAGCTAGTCCAAAGGCAGGCCAAAGGTTCCTTCTCTGTTTTACTATGGTATGGCCAGTATCACAAGAATATAAGGTCCATTTCATAATAAAGTCTTGCCAATAGGCATTTCAGTCAACTATGAAGTTGTTCATTTCAAACTTTCAGCCATATATGGAATCCAGAAGCCATCCATCTCTATTGCACTACTTCTGAAGATCTCTTTATAGCTAAGAAGAGGAGTTTAAATGAGCTTTGCCTGGGAACCCTTAGGAAACCAAGATATACATTTTAAATTTAAATTGTTTCCAATTCAAATTGTGTATTTTGAATTCAGAGCAAATTCAAAATGAACCATGAAGCTGTTTTGAATGCAAACATTTTACACCTGAAACAATAGTTTCCAGTTCAAAATATGTTCTGAGTTCAAAATGGTCTGAATTATTAACATTTCATGCATTTATATAGAAATTCTATGTGAATATACCAGAGCAAAATCAGAGAGATCTGCAAGATCTGACTGGATATTGTTTAAACTTGATTTTCTGGGCCAGAGAGATATTATCCAAAATGTTTTTCCACTATCTTATATTATGAGTAATTTGTATTTTGGTTAAAGTTACTGAGCTTGTTTATTAATATAGTTACAGAGTAGGAAAAGTAACAGTAAAAAAAAGCTTCTACAGCCCAATATTTGTTTGCTTATCATTGTCAGGAAAGCTTTCCATTAGCTAGTACCCATTTTTACTACCCAATTAAATTAGATTAATTGCCAAACCATAGCCTCAACAAACTTGGCAATGAACTCATGATTAACATTAAGATAAATGACAGAAACTGAAAAGGGGGGGGAACTCTTTACTTAAACTGAGCTCACCACTACCAAAAAGAATCACACTTCCCCAAAAACAAAGTGGGAAAAAACCCAGTAGTTTTGCTGAACAGACATGTGTCTGCTTCATTTCAACTATAGTCTCAAACAGAAGTGAATCACTCTTATATTATTCCTTTGATGACCACCTCCATAAACCCTGGCAATGAAAAGGGCCTAGAAACAGCACATCATTTCCTTGAGCTCCATATGACAGCAAGCTCTGAGGACAAAAGAACTGGTCCTAGCAAACCATGTGTCTGCACTCCCAGAGACAGTTAAATGGTAAAGAAGCTTCACAAGTAGACATTGCAACTGGACCCAGAAATTCACGTAGTTTACTCCAGCCCAGAACATACACCAGGTTTGATCTTACAGACTTCTTCTTGTCCTCCTTTACCTTACTTGACACTGTTCCATGTGCACCACGGTCTGAAATGAGGTCTGAAATGAGCGTGTGTGGATGGAAGAGGCTGAGAAGAGGGAGAGAGGGGGAGGGGGGGAAGAGAGAGAGAGAGACACGGGGTGGGGAACAAAGAGACCAAGCTCCCTCTCTGGCCTGTCCTCACCATATCTAGAGCTCGGCCTAAACAAAAGCAACGAACAGGAGGCTGTAAAAAAAAAAAGTCTCTCTTTCTCTGTCACGCATACACAGAAACAGGAAACGAGCAACTGGGGCATGAGAAGATGCTGACGAGAAATATTTCGCCCAGAGGAAAGGGAAGAATTAACACTAGAATTACACGGGTGGCTGCCCAGATTATTTTAGCCAGCCCTGAATTTACGAGGCGACAACAATACTGTTATTTGGGGCTCTGGCCACATGCACTGTTGCCCGGAGATGAACCGAGGAAAGAAGAAACACGGGAGGAGGAAGGCAAAGTCTTCCGTCTCGCCCTCCCCGCACGCCTCCCGGATTGACACCTGTGACAGAGGGAGACCGGAATCAAGAAGCCGAGTTTTGGATTACCGCGGGCATTAAGCACCCGGCGGCGCCGCTTCCTGAGCCACGGCTGCCGGGCGAGAGAAAAGACGCCGGGCTCCGCCCCCACAAAGGGAACAGCAGCGCCCTCAGAGAGGAAAGCGGGAAAGGGGGAACCCTCCTTCTGCCTCCCCAACGCTTTCCCCGCCTCTGCCTCCACGCTCCGTTACCGTTGTGAGTAGTGGCCTCATCTGCTCCCCGGCCCGCTCCTCCTCCATGGCGTGCCCAAGACGGACAGCGCTGGGAGTCGAGGTCTGCGCTCGCTGTCTGACTGCGTAGGGTGAGGAAAAGGAAACGTCGCTGCTCCGGCAACAACGAGGCTTTGATTTGGACGCCCGCTTCTGCTCTTGCTAGAGCCTAGCCGGCTCGCGCCTTGACCACGCCCCCTCGGCCGCCCGATTGGCAGCCGGCCCAACCAATCGCCGCGAGAATGCGGCTCCTCCTCTACGCGGGGAAGAGGCACTGAGAGAAGAGGCGGGAGGGTAGAAGGGACTTTCGGAGGGTAAAGGGATTAAAAGGCGACCTTTCTCTGAGCTCAAGGGGAGCCGCTTCAGGTGACCGTGGCTTTCTCTCCTGCTTAGAAATAGAAGTCACGCTGACCGGGATTTTTTTTGGTCTCGGAGCTAAGCTAAACGAGACCTTTTCAGGGTGCAATGGCTTTTCTTTGGAAAGGGGCCCCGATTTGTGGGACTGCTTCCACGGCACTCTGCCCTAAAAGCTGTCCTGCCCCATTTTGCTTTCTATAACCCAGACTAAGCGGTAGGTTGATCGCTCCAAGTTTCCTGAGAAGCCAGACCGTTTGTTTAATTGAATAAAACACGACTAAAGTAACCATAATTTATTCTTTGAAATTAGCTAAAACTTTCGGGTCATTAGCTCAGATTATTGCAGTCAGGATGCATCTTCGATCTAGCTCAAATTAGTAGTCATGGGGCCTCTTCATTTCAGCGAGGAATATCAGGCACAGAATGTGGAGCAAGAGAGACTGTTCCAAAGTCACCAAGTGAGTTTGTTTCGGGGTGGGCATAGGGGGAAGAAAGAGATGCTAGAGATTTTGCTTCCCAGCTCAAAACAGTAGGAAACTTTTTTTTTTCCTATCAACGATGGTTGGAAAATAATGGAAGCGGTCACAAAAAAGTACTTTGAGGTTCTCAGCATTTCTACCCTGATAAATGTTGGGCTTAGTCAGATTTACTGATATATCTCTCTTGCATTGGAAAGATTGTTTTCTGAGCAAAATTGTAGATAATCTATCTCAGACTGTTTTCTTAAAACAGCTCCTATAAAGTTAAACATTAGGTAATATGCTAATTTACATATCAAAACTTTGAACTGGAATAATCGGCAAATGTATGACACTTTAGTGACTAGATAGATATTTAGCTGGTTGGCACTTATATCCAAAGAAACATGCAGTGAATTATAACCTTTCATTAAAATGAAGCCTTCTGTGACAATAACATTCCTGTGAACATAATATACTAGCCAGGAGCAAATATATCCTTGAATATCTATTAGTTCCACTCATAAGTTAGTTTGGTTAACAAATAAGATGTAAACAAGCTTAACATGGTTTCTTCCATTGCAAATAAAACCTTACCTTTGTTTGATTAGCTGCATCTCCTCATAAACAGACACAATGGGAATATGTAGCTTTATGGTTTACTTTAGTGAGACGTATTAGGATCCTTTTAAGTAAACAATGCAAGTCAATTTGTTGTAGTGATTAAGGCATCCAGCTAGAAATCCTTTGGAAATCTTTGAACAGAAGTAAAAAAGTGAACAATATTTCAGTATGCAATTTAAAATCTGTTCCTCTATAATGAACCAAATTCGTATTTTAGAGTAGTTAATTATTCTGTCTGAAAGTATCTCTTCAGATGTGACCAGAATCTTCTTTAGCCCTTACTTTATAAAGATGAAGTAAAATATTGATAAATATAAATAAAAAATATGACTATCTATATATACAGTACATATTCTTGAATAACATTCTCAATCCCATGTTCATTCTTTTCCCTTTTCAAGTATTAATTTGTATCATTTCTCAGTCTTCTGGAGGCAGAAGAAGTTAAAGTGTAACCACCAAAAAGGCCTTTTTAGATGTGGTACATGATACTAATCTACATAGGAAATAAATTAGATAAATTGTGTTATTTATAAATATTGTGATAAAAAGCAGTTGCAAAATGCAGTATCTAGAGCTCTATTATAAAACTGTATGCAAAATAGTTAGTAAATATAGGATTTGTTAAATAATTTTATGCCAGTTAATAAGTTATTGTTTCTAATAAATACTTCCATTATTCAGTATTATTGCTGAATATTACTCCTGCTAGGAAATAAAAGATGTGTACTCTTTAGCTTATTAATAGTAATTTGATGGCTTGTTAGAGGTGAATTTATAAGCCTATTTAAAATTACTGATCCAAGACATAATATAGTCTTATACAGGTAGTCTTCAACCTACAATCATTCATTTAGTGATCATTTGAAGTTACGACAGCACTGAAAAAAGTGACATGACTGTTTTTCACACCACCATTGCATCATTCCCATAATCACATGAACAAAATTCAGACTCTTGGCCATTGGCATGTATGAGGGCAATTTGGAAATAAACCTCCGTTTAGTTATGAATGACAGATACAGAATTTTTATTATATACATTAGAAAACTACAACGTTACATTACTTTTCAACATAATCGCCATTCAAATTGAGGCACTTGTCATAACAAGGTTTGAAATTCCTTAGTAGTAGTCATTCGGCGCCAAATCTGGACTATAGAAGTGTGGGTGACCAAAAACATCCCAATGGAACTGCTTCAAAAGTTCTTGGGTGCATCTAATGATGTGCGGGTGAGCATTATCGTGAACCAACACCACACCGGAAGTCAGCATGCCCTGACGCTTGTTATGGATGGCTCGTCCGAGTTTTCATATCGTTTCACAATAGACTTCTGAATTGATGATCAAACCACGCTCCATGAACTTCACTAGCAGTATTCCTTTGGCATCTTCACATGTGGCGGGATTTTCTATGGCACCACTTCCGATGTGGTGTTGGTTCACAATAATGCTCGCCCGCACACTGCTAGATGCACCCAAGAACTTTTGGGATGTTTTTGGTCACACACACCCATAGCCCAGATTTGGCGCCAAGCAACTACTAAGGAATTACAAATCTTGTAAGACATTATGACAAGTGCCTCAATTTGAATGGCGATTATGTCGAAAAGTAATGTAATGTTATCTAACATGTATAATAAAAGTTCTGTGTCTGAGAGTGTCTGTCATTGATAACCAAACGGAGGTTTATTTCCGAATTGCCCTCATATTTATGATGGTTGCAGTATCTTGGACTCATACAATCACTTTTGCGATCATCTGACAAGCAAAGTCAATGGGAAGTCAGATTCACTTACCATCTGTTACTAACTTAGCAATTACAATGATTCACTTAAGTGTGACAATAAAGATTGTAAAATGGGGAATATCTTACTTAATAACTCTCTTGCTTAACAGAAATTTTAGGCTCAATTGTGGCCATAAATTGAGGACTACCTGTAGACTCAGTAATCTTGCTAAAAAAGAGCTTTTCTGTGTTCCAGATGGCATCTTTTTAAGGATCTCTTGAATCAATTCTTAAATGAACTTTATGTTGTGAGATATCCATAAATTATCTCTTCAGTGAAATGTTTGCATTCTGCAAGGTATGTCGTGTACATTGAAAACTTTAAAACAATAAGTTCATTGATTAAGTGGAAGTGAGAGACAGGCCTGAATATAATGAAATAAAGGAGAATACGCTTTATCTCTATTTAGGTAGATAAAAGATTATAAAATTCCTTAAGTGCAATGAAAACTGTATTTTGAACTAGATACCACATATAATTGCTCTTCTAATCAAACATAGACGTGTATTTTGGTTGTCCTTTAAGAGAGGAAGAACATGATACAAATGTAACAATAAAATATGAGTGATTTTCATGATGAATGATCTCAGTAGAGAAGCGCTGCAGTCTAGAGCTGCTAAATATGCTCAAGCTGAGTCCAGGAACTTGATGAAATGTATGATTGCAGGTTGTCTTTTGGATACCAACAAATAGATAAGTTAAAATTTGGTTTCATTTGTAAAGTTTTTAAAATATTTTTTATTATTATAGGTAATTTTGATCACAGTCATTCCAAACCTGATTTAAAGTTTCCAGAATTCAAATTTCTATCTGGCAAACTATAGGCAGAAGGACTATAGCATTCCAAGGATCTCAGTTTTAATCCTGGGTATTACCTGTTTAAGGGGGAATAGTACAAAGTTTAAAATATGCAATTTTAGATATGCTTCCAGCACTAAACAATCAAAGCCAAAACTGACAAATGATGTGAAAGCCAGCTGGATGACAATAAGCCAGCCACACACTCTCAAGCTAACTCAACTCACAAGGTTATTGTTGTGAAGGAATATAAGAAACAAGAATTTGGGGTATGTTTGCTGCCTTGGATTGATCAAATATAAAGAGGGTGGAATAAAAATCTAATAATAAAGATAATGGCTGGATACATATAACATATTAAGGCAAAATCTTAAAATGATGGCTTAATCCCTTCTCTATGCATGGTGTGTATTCAGCTATTATAAAACTGCACTTTAGATATTTCCTAAATAAGTATTCCAAGTGTCTCTTTTTTTAAAAAACCTCCAACTTCTGGATCATGAAATGTTATTCTTCTTTTAATAGTGTATTTATTTGCTTAGTGAAGCATGATTGCTACTAAATTCTCTCTGTGCAGGAGCTGCATATTACACAAGATCATGTAAGTTCCATGAAGTTCAATATCATGTAATTGAGTTAAATGAAATGTTAATTAAAACCATATATAAATTAAAAATTGGGTCTTTTTAATCTACTATGTTTAAAGTTGCCTACAATATGCAATTGCATAATTTCAATGTTCCATTTATGGATAAAACTACCAAGAGAAACCTGATATAAGAAACTCATAAGAAAAGTTGCCACGAAGTATGCTGGTAAATTAAGAAGACTACTCCTTAGCTTGAGGCCAGTTGCTAAGGAGGAGATTTAAAATACTCACAATGACTACACAGGCAGAATGAAAAACCTGTTTGTAAACTAACATGACTGATGATGCTACATACTATATATTTTTTCTCTCAAATTTTATTTCATGATATTCTAAAAGATGCCTTCTATTTATATCAAATCAATAGTTTGCATTTCTAATTTCTTATAATAATTTTATTAAAAATTACAATTGCAACAATAATGCAAACTTAAAATATATAATTAGAATGTGCCAAAAAATAAGAAAAAAATAAGAGTAAAATAAGGAAAAAGAAAAGAAATATGTAAAGAAATGATTTTGTCCTGCATCACAAATATAAACATTTATACAAGTAACTTATTATCTTCTCTTAAATACAACAAATTATTT